TCCATGATAATTCTATAGTGATTGATATGCTCATATGGGTTGGATGTCCCATCGTAGGAATCGATCTTGGTTGTTTAAATACTTCCAGAATGGGGTGTTAAATAGTGGTTTCAGTCAGGGGTGATGACTCCTAGACTCCCACTAACGAAGAAGTTGCCTTATCCCTCCCACCGGGAACTCTTCTCGAACCAATCTTTGCAATTCATACCGTAGGGTATTGCAAGGGAGCTCAGCAACGTGCGGTCCAACTAAGTCTTCAAGGATGTTTGGAGGAATGTGAGATTTCCAACCTATATGCCAAGGATGGGAAGAACTTGCAGTGTCAGCAAGTTCGTTGTCTTGGTGTGATTGCATATTCCTCTTTGGCGGAGGAAGAGGAATCTCTTCCTGAAGATATTCGAGTTGAACATCTTCAGTCAATGGTGGATCTTGAGGGAGAAGAACCTCGTCCTGTGGTGCTAGCGCCGGTTGTTAAGTCTCTCGCAGGAGTTGAACGATCTCATTTTGAGATTCTTCCATCTTTCGGATACGTTCTCCTAGGGAGTCCTGAAGTTTATTCTCCAGTAGTGTTTTGCCCCCTAGGATAAAAAGAGGCAGATACTTAACGTCCATGATTCATAGACTGATTCCTGGATTGGTAGTAGTTTTTTCCATTAAATACATACTTAGAATTGCGAGATTATTTTCTATAGACGACGCCAAACTGTTGCGGGCTAGAATATACGTCCCAATAAAGATGGAAAATTTTATGTCTTAGTCTTATACGGATATCCAGCACACAAACAGAATAAAAAAGAAATACTATAATTTTTATATGGAACCCCGGAAAAGGGAAAAACCACGGGGCCACGCCTAGTTGAAAGAATTATACTAGTGTTTGCTTAAATTAAAAGTGGCTGACTCATCCCTGAAATTGAGCACTATCAGATTACAATAATCAACTCCCGAGTAGAAATTCAGTTACAAATGGAGATCGAAAATCCGACGATGTTCTGGTGGTCGAGAAAAAAATTCGGCTTCAATTGACTATCAGACAAAAATCTTGCGTTACTTGGCTGTCGGGCAAAATTCCGACGTCAGTCGGCTATCGGGTAAAGCTCCAACGTCAATCGGCAATCAGGTGAAAGTTCGACGGTGTTCAAGGAGTCTAGTGGCCAAAGAGCTCTCTCCCTTCTTTTCCTTATCTTCCTTCTCTTCTTGCTTCCTTCTCTTCTCTTCTTGCATCCTTGATTCCTCTTCTTTTCTTGCTCGGATCCCTCTCATGAGAAATGAGATATCTATTTATAGTATTCTGAGAGTGGCATGGCCAGTAAATAAAAGGAAGATCAGGGGTAAATTGGAAGTGGTTTGAACAGACGGCCGATGTAGGATCCCTTAATTATGGATCATTTATTGAGCATTTGAATGTCTTATTGATATCAGAATTTGCCAATCTTGGGCTTGTTAGATTCGTCTTGTCGAGCCGCTCGATTCGACTATAAGCACGCCTCATTTGAAAACTATTTGGTAATCCAAATTATAGATTGAACCTTCCAAATGCTCATCGGGTCCTTTGATTTGGACCCATTTGAGCTCGGATTGGGTTAAATTTGGTGTCGTTGGGTTGGTATTTTTAAGACATTTAGTTCAACAAAGTTTGCTAAAATCGGAGTTCAAATGGTTCACAATTTAATTTTTGAAGTTTCCAACTTTATTTTTACCTCAAGATTCGTGCCCGATCAAGATTATTTTTTGATGATATATTAATAATTATCTTATTTTATTTTATTTTACTATTATTTGAAAATATGCAAGTAAATAATGACTTCAAGAAGATACTCAACGAGTATCTCCACATAAAGATTTAAAAATATCAAATATGAGAAATACATGTTTAAAGTGTTATTTTTCCAAGTGATAGAAGAATTATAAATATAGAACTTGATAAATTTTTTGGTTATTTTGAAGACTTTATAACCAAGAGTTTTTATGAGATAGGTGGAGCATGATTCCAAAGATGTGGTGGTTGATTTATAAGGCTTCAGCATCTCTACTTCAAACAATCACCATAAAACTTTTTGGTCAAGTTTCATCCATGTCTTCTTGTGAAAAAAATTGGAGCATATACTCCTTCAACCAAACAATGATGAGGAATAAAATTATTTCACAACGGAAATAAAATTTAGTTTATGCGCAGATAAACCTTCAGCTTCTATCAAGAAAGATTCCTACTTATATGGAAGGAGATAATAAGATGTGAGATGTTGTTGGAGATGAATTTGAATCTCTCGATGATATGAGAATATTGGAAATTGTTAATCTTTCACTTAATGAGCCTGAATTAGAAGCAATAATATTTATTAAAGATGGTATAGAAGTCCAATGACAAATCCTTGAAGTCAATCCTACCATTCCTTCCACTGAAAAGTTGAAACTTCATGTATTAGACAGTTTATAAAAAAAAATGTATTAGACAATTTATGTTTATGTTTTTTATGTTGTACTCTCTATTTAAAATTGCGCAACAAGGCACGCCTCTGTGCAATTTGCCCTAAATACACCTCGAGGCTTACGCAATTTTCCTCTTGGCAGAGGCGTACGCCTCACCGGGTCTGATGCGCTCCTCTAAGGCACAATTGCGCAATTATAGGTGAGGCGTACGCATCATCAACCCGATCCCACCTACTTAAAATGAAGAATTTTTTTCCCTTCATCCCGTTCGGTTCCAGGTATTCCCGAAAAAATCCCTTCCCGCAGCCTCTGTTCGTGAACCAGATGGGCTCCCGCACGCTCGGCCTCCCATCCCGCCGCCTCTCCCGCCGGCGCCGTCTCTCTCTAGTGAACTTGAAGTGTCCGGCCGTCCTCTAGGATAAGTCCACAATCGATTTTAGGTATTTTTTTTAGTTTATGGCTAGATTTTTCAAGTGAAAGAAAATCTATGGTTTTTTATTTTTTGAATTTTTTTGTGTGTTTTTGAATTTTTTGCATTAGAAAACATGGTTAGAGGCAAGGAAAAAGCGAATACATCATTGCGGCGTGACCCTTCTTGGAAATATAGTGTACAAGTTGACATGGGAGATGCCGAGAAGACGTATGTGTATTTAAAATGCAATTTTTGTGAGAAAGTGGTGAATGGCGGAGTAACCCGCATGAAGGAACACTTATCATGCTCTCATAAGAACGTAGCACCGTGTGCAAAAGTGTCGGATAAGGTAAAGGATGAAATTATTGCTTACATGAAGAAAAGTACCACGGTAAAACACTTACAACATGAGCAATTGAACATGGTGCTTACTTAGGGAGCGAGAGTGGAAAGGGCTCTTCCTCTACTATACATAATAGAGGTGCATGGGGTCCTATGGATCAGTATATGACTAATCCAGCAGAGGATAGAGGACAAGCAGAGATGATGCATGCAGCTAGTACCAGAGAGGGTCAACGCCAGGTTTGCATGGATATTGGCAGGTTTTTTTTTAGAATGTCATACCATTTAATGTTGCAATATCGTCTGCCTACTTCAATATGCTGCGGTCTGTAGGGTTGTATGGGAGAGGGTTGAAGGCATCATCCAAGTACGAGTTGCGAATATGAGTTTTGGAGGAGCTGCACAACACAGAGATTAAACGGACATGGATTGAGACTGGTGTTACCATTATGTCAGATGGATGGTCTGACATGAAGAGCAGGAGCTTGATTAACATCCTTGTCAACAATCCCTACGACACGGTGTTTTTACGATCAGTTGAAGATTCAGATGAGGTTAAAAATGCTTCATTTATTTTCAATTTACTAGATTGAGTTATTGAGGAGATTGGGGAGCAATTAGTTATTCAAGTGGTGACTGACAATGCCAGTGCATACAAAGCAGCTGGTCAGATGTTGATGGAGAAGAGGACACACCTATATTGAACCCCCTGCGCGCAGCACATTGTATCGATCTCATTTTGGAGGAACTTGGTGACTTACCTCAACATAAGAGCGCTCTTTCTAGGGCGAAGAAGATTACAAAGTTCATCTACAACCACTAATGGGTCTTAGCCTTGATGAGAAAGTTTTCAAAGAAGGAAATCATTCGCCCTGCAACCACTAGGTATGTTCTTACATTTGTGCACTGCAAATCATTATCAATTCCTAATGTATGTTCTTATATTTGTTCACTGCAAATCTACAGGTTTGCCACATCTTTCTTGACACTGCAGAGCCTGTTGGATGTGAGACAACCTCTGGAAGCAATGTTTACATCAACATAATGGCTTAACTTTGCGTGGGGAAAGAAAAATGAGGGGAAGGAAATAAGAAAAATAATTCTAAATGATAAATTTTGGACTATTGTGACCTATATAATACACATCCTATATTTTATTAAGTAAATTGTGACATAGACTAGCATACATAAGATAGAGAATTCAAGATTAGTTAAATTTTAAACTTATTGCCAATCAAAGAGTTCCTCACCTAATCCAGGATGAAAATACTTAGTTTAGTATCTTAACCCTAACTAAAATAGGTTGAATTTTCAAAAAGACCCATGAAATTATACTTGGGTTATTTTATCAATACAACAAACAAAATTCAAGGGCCGTAATGAATTTTCTTGTTAATCAAACTGATATCACAAAACAAAGACTAAAATACTGCTTGAATATACTTACGGGTCATCTTAACGCATAGAAAATACAAAAGTCCTAAAAGCTAAGCCCTTCGAACTCAAAGTTGGGTTATTTACTCATAAGCCAAACAGAAATCACAATACTGGAGCATTTAATTTTTTTGATAATCTAATAGACTAACACAGATTGGTGAAAATACTTATGAAATCATCTAAACTTTACTTTCAAAAACCCCAAAAAAACACCAAAAACTGGCCTTGAGGGTTTTAACCTTCTTCATTTTTTCGTACATATCACCCGATTCCCAACGAGAAAGATCAATACAAATACGAAAATCAATGGGGCAGTTTAGAATGAATACGAATAGGCGAGGAGGGAACACATTTGAGCGGAATGTTTTGATATTAGCACCTGGACCTCGACAAGACCGGTGCTTTGGGCAATGACGACTTCGATGGAACCATCCGCCTTCGGCCGCCAGTATCCGCTCTCGGCATGCATCGGCTCTCCAGAAGCTAACTTCCAAGTTTTCTGGTTATACGCTATCACGGGCTGCGTTCCAGCATCAAGCGGTAAGAATGTGTATGTATAAGATGTAGGGAGAGGGAAAGGAAGGGGCCAGAGAAAGAGAGACGAGAGACAAAGAGAGAGACCTTGCCGGAGTGGGAGAAGAGCAATTCTTCTGCGTAGGCGAAAGAGTTAATAGTGGGAAACCCGCCTTCTCCCTGACCTCGCCATTTCCCCAACAGAAAGAAGAGAGGAGCAATGGCGGGGTGCAGCAGCGGAGGTGTCGGAGATGCAGAAGGATAACCGCCCGCTCCTTCCATTCCTCTCTCTCCTTCTCTCTCTCTTCAGGTTTTTTACCCTTACCCATCCGGTATGCTTAGGGCTAAAAATATCTCAAATTATTTTGATGAATATATAGTAAATATAAGTGCATTTTATTTTTTATTTTTTTTTTTTAAATGAATATAATATAAAGATAAAAATTGTGGCGGCTAGTGGGGGCACGTCAGCTACGATTGTCAGCGGCTGTGGTGGTCAGCAATAGTGGTGGCCAGCTGAGATGGCCGATTGGGGGTGGTAGCAGTGGATTTCGACGATGGTGGCTGGTGGGGGTGGTCGAAGTGGTTGATGACGACGGTGGCTGTGTTGGTTGAAGGTACATGGGCGGCGATAATGATAGTGGTGGTCGGTGGGCAATGGTGGCGGCGGTAGGCAGAAGACAAGTAGCGGCGTTAGGCGGAAGACAAGTGGCGGCAATTATGAGCAGTGGCAGTTGTGGGCGGAAATCATGTGAGCTTGATTTAGATTAAATTATTATTTAATGGTATGGATGAATTTTAAATAATTGATATATCATCAAAAAATTATATTGATCGGGCACAAATATCGATGCAGAATCAAGTTGGAAACTTCAAAAATTATATCCATGATAATCTAAACTCCAATTTAAGCAAACTTACAATCGAACTGAACATCTCGAAATACGAACCCAACGACAACAAATTCGACTCTATCCAAGCTCAAATTGGTCCAAATCGAAGGCTTAAAGCACATTTAGAAGGTTCAAATCATAATTTGGATTACGAAACAATCTCCAAACGTGACATGATTATAGTCTAATTGAGCGGCTAAACTAGATGAATCCAACGAACCCAAAATCATTGAATTTTGATATCATTAAAACATTCAAATGGCTAATAAACAGTCCATGATCAAGGGATTCAACATCGACCTTCTATTCAAACCATTCCCAATTTACCCATGATCTTCCTCCTATTTACTGGTCATATCACTCTCAAAAAATTATAAATAAACCTCTCATTTCTCATTGAAATGGAACCCAAGTGGGGGAAAGAGAAGGAAGAAAACTAAGAGACTCCTCCTCGACCACCGTCGGACTTCCACCCGGCAACCGACCAAGGCCGGAGTTCTGCCCGATCGCCAACTGATGCCGGAATTAAGTAAGAAAGCATGAAGAAAATGAAGATAAGGAAGAGACTCCTTCTTGACCATCGCCGGACTTTCACCCGGCAGCCGACCGACGTCGGAGTTCTGCCCGACAACCAACCAACGTTGGAGATCAGCCATACCACAAATTGAAGCTGGAGTTTTGCCCGTCCATCGACCGTCACCATATTTCTATCCAACACACGACTTATGTCTATCGCCAGACTTCTACCCGACGTCGGACTTCCTCTTGTCGCCGGATTTCTACCTAACACCGGACATATGCCCATCGCAAAACTTTTACCCATCACCGGACTTCTGTATGACAGCCAACTGACGCCGGACTTCTACCCAGCTACCAATTGACATTGGACTTCTACCTGACAGTCAATTAATATTGGTTTTTATGTCCATCCACCAACTAACGTCGAACTTTTATAAGGCCACCAATTGATGATGGACCTCCATCGCCTTCATACTACGGTTCGTCTGACCTCCGTCGCCTGCCAATTACAATCCTTCTGACCTCTGTCGCTAGACAACGGTCCTTCTAACCTTCGTCACTCGCCGACTATGATCCTTCCAACCTATGTAGCCAGACAATAGTCTTTATGACCTCCGTCAACCACCGACTACGATCCTTTCGACCAAACGAACACATCAATATTGATTCTTCATGTTTCCACCATGTAACACACTATGTAAAATGTATATTTGTTAAATCAATCCAAGGCCTTCCCCCAATGAAGGACCTCATTTATAATCTACTGCAAATACTAGTTGATTTATTCAAACTAGGCCAAGCGCAATGGTTTTTCCCCTTTTTAGGATTTTCCTCGTAAAAATCTTGGTGCCTCGTAAAAATCTTGGTGTCTCTTATGAATATTGCACCCTCTCTTTTTATCTGATTGTGTGCTAGATCTTCGTACAATGCTAAGACTTTAAACTTTAAATTTCTCTACCGCCGCAAATATTCCAAGATGTAACAATAAGAAAATTATTATTTGATTGTATTTGATTTAGATTAACAAAAAATCAAATAACTTTAAAATAACATGAATATGAAATCTATAAATACAGATTCCTAAAAATATGAGCGTAAATGACATTATAATTAATAATATTAAAACTAAATTGAAGAAACTTTGCTTAAATTGTTCATTTGTTGCAACAATAACGATATGAAAGAAGATTCATTTGTTGGCTAGATGCCTTCCAACCAATCCCTCATACTTGCTTGTATGATAGACATGTCAATGGCCTCTTAAATTGCATTGATACACAATTGCTATTATGTAATTCATTCCACAAGACCAATATTTATGGTAATTGTTCAAGTTGATGATCTTGCTTTAAAACTTTTCGTGATTAATTTCTCAAAATTAATTAGGTTATTATTTTTTTATAAAAATAACTTTTTAAGAGAATAAAAAAAATTGAACTATTTTGGCCGATTCAATTTAAGAAAACAAGTGTGTTAGTGATTGAGAGATTATGAAATCGACGAGTAAGAGAAGGAGATAGAGGGGTGAAGAGAGAGAAAGAGAAAGAAGGGGGTGACAGTACCAATCAAGCTAGCATAAATGCACGTGAACAAAGCCACAACCAGACCTTATGGCTTAACACACGTTAGGACTTTGAGTTGCATGTGGTTGAGGTCAAGATAGAGGTTTTGCAAGCTCAAAATCAAATTTGGGAAAGAGCAAATAATTCATAGGTCCTTCTTCTTCTTTCTTCAAATTGAAAGATAAAACCTAAGCATACAAATTACATATATTTTTTATGATATTGTGAGTTATACTTCAAGTTTTATTCATTCAAAGTAATGCATGCAAACTCTTAAGCATTAGTTTTTCAATGATTTTCCATTCGCCTTTCTTCTAGTAAAGATATATTCTGATCTTATGATGTATCTCAGTTTTTGTATAGGAATAAATTTATTCGAATAAATTTTGGCTAATATTTTATTTTAGAATAAATTCTTCGGATATATATATATATATATGAAGTTGAGGCTGACTTAAGTAAGTCCTAATAACAAAATTATTTTTATTATAACTAATATTGGTGCATGTAATTAATAAAATCATTTTTTAGTAATTAAAATGGCTAGGTTGTAAGTTATCCTTCCTGTAATTTATCAAAAAAGTCAATTTGTGAAAGTTCAATAGTTGATTTTGCAGAAAAAGCAAATAACATTTTTTGTTCTTTTTACTTTTCTGATATTTTATTTCTTTTTAAAATAAATATCAATTCACAATAATTTTTGTATCATAATGATAATTAGACTCAAGCAAGATTGAAAAATAAATAAATGCATAGGAAAGTAAAAATGTAGAAAGTAAATGCAAAAAGATTAAGAACACTACCAATTTTTATAGTGGTTTGATCAACTTGACCTATGTCAACTCCCCACAATTTCTCTTTTTGGGTATTGCACTAATCAATAGTATCTCTCCTTCAACCAACGGCTAGGTGGAGAAAGCCCACATAAACTCTTCTATCAATGGATATCTCCTTTCTCCTCCTTGGGCTGATGAACACAACGAAATCTCTTTCACCTCCTCGGTGTGGCGGAGTAGTCGAAATCCCTTTCACCTCCTCAGTTTGGAGTGGTTGAAATCTCTTTTACTCGTCAAAGCTATAAAATAGCGAAAATTCCTTTCACCTCCTCAATGAGTCAGAGTAGCCAGAATCTCTTTCACTTTCTCGATACGACGGAGTAGCCAAAATCCCGTTCTCCTCCTCGGTGTGGTGGAGTAGTTGGCAACCTTTGACAGCAAAGGCTTTTTCAATAAGCTTCCCTTAAGAAAAACACTGATACACCCAAAGGAACTCAGGTTCAAGTTAGCTAGATCAACCATATGAAATTCCTCTCACACTTTCTTGAATCCCATAAGATTCTTCTCTGTCACACAACCTCGCTCTTTCTCTCTTTTGTTCAGTGCTCTCTCTTGAAACTCTCTAACAGAAGAAACACACCTCTAACTTTTGATGAGGCTTGTGGAGTAACCTATAGAATTATAAAATGCTTTAGGTCTCTATTAATCCCTAACAATACTTATGTTTAATTTGATATAAAAATTATAAAAATCCTACTTAATATACGTAAGTACACATGTCGAATCAAATAATATAGTGATAAAATAGAGTATTGAACCCATGAGGAAGATATGCTTATTTGTAATTCACTAGTACTGTCTACTAAAATTACAACAATTATCATATTCAAATAAAAATAAAGGTTGTGGAATTCAATCACTTAAATAAAATTTGATAAAAATAATGAATACATTATATGAATATAATAATTTGGATTAATAAATAAAGATGATATATTTTTCCTCATGAATCTCATTTAATTATGATGCTACTCAGAGCATATGCATTCCTAGATCTCTATCAAGCTTAATTATATGAACAAAGAATATCAATCGATTTCCTATGATTATTTCATCTCCTTAAGAATTTAGTACATTTCATATATTATACCTAGGCATGACGCATACAAATTCAATTTTCTTGTTTATATTTCCTCCATCGAGGCCCCACATTACACATAATATTAACTGCAAATATGGTCACTATGTGTATTAAATGAAAATCTAGTAATATTGAAAACATCTTTTTAATCTTTTAAAGAATAAGAGATTTCATTAGTATTATATATGATACTTACATCATCAATCCAAAATAAGAGAATTTAGCCAAACATGGAGAAGAATTGGAGAAAACTTATTTTCATTAATGACATGATAGAAAGAAAATATAAGAGAGATATCACTAGAAGAAATCAAAAGATCACCTCCATAGTACTCTTTACTTATAGATTTTCTTCCACAAACACAAGCAAAACACTCTAATGATTGTATCAAGTATTTTTCTAGATTTCCTTAGTTCTCACCTTAAGGGAGTTTTAGAGAAGGACTCT